GGCCACACCTGGCGCTGGTTGGGTGGGGAAAAGAGGGCGGTGCCTTATACCGATGCTTATTTGTACTGATTGCTGGGGAAAAAAATTATAACCTACTAAAGATGTCACTGGTCCTGTGCGCTCACAATGGGAGCTCATATGTCATGGCTCACTTGACGAGAATTGACCTTATTTTTTTTATTTTAAGATGTGTCATCTTCTTGGAGCTGGGGGAGGAAAGGAGAACAATGATTAATACATGTGTGTTACAGTTAGCATATAGTGTACATTGAAGGCATAACTCACCTCCCGCTCACGTTTTTTTATTTCAAGGTCCAGTTTCCTAATTGTCCTCTTTTTTATTTCAGACTCCAGTGCAAGATTTTCCATCTTTTTTTTCTTGTACTGGATGTCTATATCTGCCAGTTCTATTTGGCGCCGGAGGTGGTTTCCATACAACCGTCTGATAGTTTGTGAGCTCTGTGTGAACACAATACAATTAGCGCAGAGGGAATTTGGCACAATGTAGTGTCTTTCCATTAATACGCACTATGTTGCCAGGCTGGCTTTCCCACTGTACAGCATCTGGGTCCTGTTACAGAAATGAGATTCTGTGAGGGCTCCAAATAATGACTCCTCACCATTGTAGACTGAGTAGTACTATCACAGGCTTGACATGATACCTCATGCCTTCTGGAATCCAGAGAGATGGTCTCCTCACCATCATCATCGCCATCATGTTCTGTTGCTGCTGCACTGGGGCCTTCACCCTATCACATTTAATCAAATTCATATTAAAGCTAGTAGACAAGACATGCCAGGCCTACAGTATGCCTTTGATGGAGTACTCACTGGATCAGCATTGTCTGGTGCTTGTGCTGGTGGCTCCAACAGGAACACAGTGCTGCCAGACACTGCAAGGCAATAGGCAAACCAAAGTCAGACAGTGCAAATGGATTCAATATGAATGTGGTTGTGTCCCATGTAGAGATGGAAGGACATACCTTGTATGAAGCGGGTGGCATCTTGGGAGGGACCTATGCTTGTCTCTTTCCCCCCAGGGATCCCCTCCAACACAGGCCTGCCTTTATTAAGCTCCAAGGCCATGTCCTCTGCTGGGGTGAGGTCAGCTTTTGGTGACCCACCACCCGTGCCTTGTTTGTGGGTATTCTTTTTCACTGCTAAAACATTACGGACAATGTGTGAGCAGGCACCTTCTGGGTACAATATAAGCTTGCGCATTGTTAAGTATTAGTCAGGGCCCTTACCATTCTGCAGAATGTTCTTGTATTTGATTTTGACTTGCTGCCATGTCCGTTTTGGCCCAGTCATGTTTAATCTACATCACACACACACACACACACACACACACACACACACACGCCACACACAAGAACATTCAATGGAGTCAGTGAGCAAGCGACCTTGGGTCCTTTGAAAGGCGCTATATAAATTAAAGAGATTATTATTATTATTATTAGCTCATCTATTTATTCAATTAAATTTTATTTCATTTATATAGCGCTTTTCACAATTGTTTCATTGTTTCAAAGCAGCTTTACATTAATAAAAGCAGAACACACTGAATAATCGGTGGACTACATAAGAAGCAGAGTACCACAGCTAAGATTAAACCGTACTAGTGAGCGTAGTAATAAAGCAAGGCTTTGATAATTTATCAAAGCCTTATACAGTATGATGGAATTACTGTACACAATTTCACTCATATCTGCAGTCCATTTCAATTAAAAATTCAACTGTTTCATAATCAGAGTACAACTGCGTTTTTGGAGATGTGAATTAACTATTTAAATTGTTATTGTTATGTTTCAGCGGAGCGGTGAGTTTGTAATTGTGCACTACTTACGCATTCAGGCGGTCTGCAATACTTTGCCACGCTTTTTCTCTTTGTTTGATCACTGTGGCGGTGTTGCCTTTCTTCTTAATTATTTCTTTGACCTCCTTGTATGCCTCCATGAGGATTTGTGCCTCCGACGGGGAAAAGTACGCCGCTCTAGTTGCCATGGTGAATCAGTGAATCTGTGATCGGTGGCGGGGTCTATTTGAGTGAGCCGTGAACGCGCACATATCCAGGATTGGTTACACCTGGCTTGATGAATCCGTGTCTGCTCATCCTGGCTTGGTCTTTGTGCAACCAATTAAGCCTGGACGCACGTGTTTTGGATTCATTGAGCTCAGCTCAGTCATTTATCCTGGATGTCTTAATTCTACTTTTGTGCAACAGGCCCCAGTTCTTTTGAAAACAAAAACACATGCAACCTTATCAAAACAAAACAAAGTAGAACAGCTGCTGAGATGATGTCTACACCTGCTTTTGTCATTTTATTTCTGCATGCAATACAACCGTAAGATTCCAGTAAGGGACCAGAAGTAAAGTATATTTAACACTCGTAACTATGAGCTTTTCATATCAACACTATCACTCGTCTTTTTGTGTAGGATGTTCTTGGGCAGAGGATGAATGTGTACATGTGAAACAGCTTAAATAATTTTACAGTGTAGGACAAGACTGACATCGTGTCCCCTCTATTCACAGACAGCTAAAAAATATCTTCTGATACAGAACTGATTCAATTAAACTTTAGTCATTTGTTATTCAGTGGATTTCTAATTTTTTAAATATATTAGCAGACTGTGTAGTGTAGTCATTAATGATGTGTCCCATTAATGGTTCAGCTTGTACTGAGAAGATTAACACACTAAAGGGGAGGCACTCATCATAATTCCATTCTCTAGTCTGTGTCCCTCTTTGTAGATGAAAACCTTTCTTCCTCTTATTAGTTTCTCAAACAGCAGAACTGAAACTAAAGCTGCTGCAATTTAAATATGATGAGGCAGGACTTTAGTATCTAAAAAAATCATTCAAGCCTTAAAAGTACAATAACTTAATGCATGAACTCTTACACATGCAGTTTCATTTAGAAATATTGGGAAATATTGGAAATGACTAAAACCTTAGAAAACCAGAGGATACATTATAAATATTTATAAAAGCAGAGTTGTACACCATTTTTATTTTTTATAACCAGTGGCTATTGTCAGCAGCCAATGTGTAAATTATTTTGGACATGAATCTGTGTAACCATTTATGTTGTAATTTGTTTGTACTTT